ATTTGTCAGGGAATTCGAAAAATGAAGAAAGAACTGACCGAAGAGGGCGACAGGAACAGGCAAGCCATAGGAAGATTACAAGATGTTCGGAGGGGGAAGATGAAATCAGAGACTGATTGATATAAGAATCAATGGTAGATAGAAGGGAAGGAGTGAATATACGACTAGCGGACATGAAATTGAAACAAGAACAGTTGACAGCTGGAGCAGGAACTGTAACACGTGAAGAACAGCTGAAAAGATTGTACCATCTGAAAATGGCGCTATGAAAGCGAGTGATTGACACTTATTTCTACACTTAGACTAAAAACTACTCCGAACTGTACGTGCGATAGATCTTAAAACAAAAAAAAGGCTATTTTAATGAGTAATTTGGAGCAAACCTAAACCACAGAATAAAAGAGCCAATTAGATTTAAGTAATGAGGAAGGAGCTCACAACAACAACAAGAACCAGATAAAGTATACGGAATTTAAAACAGAAGCCAGAGAGTGTCAGAAAAGTTTAATACCATGCTATAAATAACCGTTACAGGTAAATAGATGGTAATTGGAAGATTTGTGTTTGTTTGTTTGTTTATGAATGTATAATTCCCGTACGGTTCAGTGATTTGTTTAGACAATATTTAAAACGTTAACAAGGATATCGCCAATATAATACAGAATTATCTTGTTTCGGAAACTTTTTAGAATTCTTTGAAAACTGAGTAAAAAAACTGCTCGGGCGGGTATAACAAGGATTGATTTAATAGTGCTAACTTTAAGCAAAATATGCTAAAGGAAGTGAATGAAAAAATATAAGAAACATAGCACATTTCTGCAGTATTATTGATCAGCTAGCGCTTACTACAGCAGTAGAGCAGACTGTTGAAGTGGCCCAGTTACAAGGAATCCTTGATTAAATGACGAAAATAAAGACCACAATAGATAAATAATACACCTATTTAGGGTAAAGATAAGTTGAAAAAACAATCATCAAATAGGTAGTGCTTGAAAACTACTAATGGTGAAGCTATTGAAGGTAGAATAGGAAAATATCCCGCTGCAAAAATGAGACCGAACAATAAATACTAGCAACATAAGATTGGAAGTTAAGCGTAAATTATGACGAAACAAAAATTAAAAAAAAATCATCCACTAGTGGCAAATGCCAAGGGAGAGATTGGTGCATATATAACAAAATCTTGCAATGCATTTGCATTATATATCAGGCCATATGCATTGGACATTGGACATTGACTATTCCTATAATATTTTTTATTGATTACCCATTTCGTAAACCAATGAAATTTGCGAATCATTTGTTGAAATGTTAGTGCTGATGGTAATATATTATACTTAAGCATCTTTCCAGGAAGTGTTTATGCATTCTGTCGAATAGCATGCCTTCCCTCCTCATCACTCCTCACAGATTTATCATTCCCAATGATTCCCACATTACATCTATTCTTCAACCGTTTAGTCCTCAAAGCTTTCACATAAATTGTAATCTTGTTAACTATTTAAGCAGTGATCTCATAAGTCTTGAATGAATAAATTTAACTTGAATATATTTTGAGCAAAGAATAAAAGAGAAAATGCGGAGAGTCTTGGATATAAAAATTTTTTTATCGCAAGACGATTTGATTTTTATTTTAATTTCTAGATTTCTTAAACAACAAACTAGTTTGACCTTATGCATTTCGCTCATAACTTATAATTAAGCATCAAGAATTTAGCAATAAGAGTAATTAAATAATTACTAGTATGTAAGTAATTAATGATTGAAATACTATCAGAACTTGAATGAAAGAGGAAACTTATGAAGATTCTGAAAAATAAATTGTGCACTAGGAAAGTTTTCTTTCAAGGTTGTTTTAGTGAAAAAGATGCGAAATAAATAAATGCAATAGTTATAATGATTTCATTAACCATAAGTTTTTTTCTTTTTGTTTTTACATGCAGCTGTTTAATGTTAACGAAATACCGACCATTCCTTTTTATCAACATTGATTTTCCGAATCAGAAGAAATCAGTTCTGCTCCACTCAGAACAGATCATTGCATCTCAACGAAATTTGTAAATGAAAGCATGGGACAGCAAGTAATGGTTTCAACTTTGATGCATTTCACACATTTGGGATGATTGTGGGCGCGTTTATAAGAAAGAA